GACAAGATTTTGTAATGATTTGTCATATGTCATCCAGTTTGAAGTTTTTGTATGTGATATATAATACTAATCGAGGTCCAGTGGTAGATCCAAGTATTGTGAATATTCAATTACTTTTCTCATAAAAAAAAAATCTTACATGCTATTTTCTCTGTGTTAAGGTCAAGCACTTCCCAGTGATCTCAGTCTGTCTCAGCTGTTGGTTTTACTACACCACCGTGGGTTCCCAGAGGGTTACTCTGCCCTGGAGTTTACCTTGAGGCTTAGAGCAAGGAAGATAACTGCAGGCAAGCCAGAGAAGAGGGGCAAGGGATATGACCCTAAAGGTAAACTAAGAAATGCATCATTCATTAATCTATTTTATTGATATATTTTAATGATTAATAGTTTTATTTGTGATAAATTTGATATTATTGGTGCAAAAAATTAATTCAGAACTATTTTGTCAAAATGTATATGAGGCAATCAGTGGTAATCTTTGGTACCAATAAATAGTCTTAAGTTTTATTTGGCTGCTCTCCATTAGACTGTGACATTTACTGCATCCCTTTTAGATCCTAATCAAGTAGGAGAACTAGTGAAACATCCAAGTGAGCCTGAGGGAGAAACCATCCCAGATGAGGTCTTATTACAGACCCCCAGCTATCCCTCTGCCCTGCAGGTTTTTGCCAGTGTCGGGGGTCTTGCTCTGTTAGCAGAACATCTGCCACTGCTTTACCCAGAGATCTCACGCCATGTGTCGCCAACAGAGGGCAACAGAGATGCTAGCTCCAATAGCCTTGGACATGATTGGGTTACCATTGAAGGGGATGATATATTTGAAGATGTGAGTATAGAAGTTAAAAAATGGAATTGCAGTGCTCTGTAAAATGTTAATTAAATTTTTTGTTGAGTCAAAGTAAGGCAAGTTTATATGAATTGTAATGCATTTTATGATTTATTAAATGTAAAACATTTGTGAAACTTACCTCATTGTGATATTAATAGTTTTTCCCTTTCTTCAGGATATTTATGAACCTATATCACACAGCCAGCCATCTCAGTCATCTCGTCAGAACACTTTCAGCCACCCGTCAGTACCCCCTCACTCCATGGTGGCCTTTGGTCTGTTCCTGAGGCTGCCTGGCTATGCTGAGGTCCTGCTGAAGGAGAGGAAGAGGGCCCAGTGTCTGCTTAGGCTGGTACTAGGAGTGACAGATGATGGGGATGGAGGTGATGACATATGATCTTCACAAGCAAAAAAAAAAGAGAGAGAGAGAGAGAGAGATGGAGCTCATTTTTTGCTTAGACAAACTCACTACTTTATTAAAATTGTTAAAAGTTTCTCTATCTTTCTTTTCTCTCTTTAAATGCCTCTCTCATAAATTACAGATAAGTCCAGACAAGACCAATATAAAGTTATTGTACACTTTTGCCCTTTTAAACAGTTCACCAAGAATAACTTATATTGTTAATTTTCACAGGTCACATTCTAAGTTCTTCCATGGCTGGCTCCCTGCCAACTCTCCCATTCCATGTGCTGAGGACACTGTTTGCTGCCCAACCTCTGACTACAGATGATGGGGTGGTGTTACGGCGCATGACACTGGAGATAGGAGCTTTACATTTAATCCTGGCTTGCCTCTCTGTGCTGAGTCACCATGGTCCAAGGGAACCATTGCCTGGCTTTCATCAAGAGGTAAGGGACAAAACATGTGGTCAAGACTTAATACTGGGCATTAAACCCTAATGCAAATTTAATTTAGTATTATTGTATGCCTTGTTATAGAATCTATGATCCAACATATTGAGTTAGGTAAAAAGATTGGTCTGATTTCTGTTTTTAGCCGAGGATTTCTGCTACCCAGGTCGCCTCCTGTGTAGTTGCTCAGCCACAGCCACCACAACCACCATTTAAAGTAAGGGCAGATAGGACTGTTGCTGACTTTATAAAAAAGAATTGCTTTAAATCCAGTTATGCTACATTTCATTATTGACAATTAGTATAATATTGATTTTTTTGTGATCTCTTTGTCAAGAAGTCTACAAGTTGTTTTATCTTCTTTATATGAAATGCTGTTATTAAAATCTTTTCTTAATGATCAGAATATAGGTACCCTAGATTTTGCCTGTAAGACCCTAGAGTTTGCCTGTAAGTATGTAGCTTACTTTTAACAATCAAGTTTAGCTTACTTTTAACAATCTGTGTCCTTCAGCTGATCCAGGCCGCTACTTCCATGTCCAACTGGAGTCAGCTCCAGAGCAGCAGCAGCAGCAGCAGTGTCCAGGCCCCGGTGAACTCTGTTGGGGATGAGAAGAGCCAGCACTACTGGGCCAAGGGGACTGGGTTTGGGACAGGGTCCACTACCTCAAGCTGGGATGCTGAACAGGCACTGCTTAGACAGAAAAGTGAAGAGGAACATGTCACGTATCTACTGCAGGTGTGTACTGCTGGTTGTCACTGTTATCTGGTGGTGCTAATCTTTCAGAGGAATGTCACTTTAAATGTAGATTGTGGCCCATTGTAATATATTGCAGCGGAGTGAGAGTGACATCAATTTCCATTTGATGAATCCAGCTTCTCTGGTACACCCTTTCATCAATCAAAATGTGGATAATTAAATTTAATAAAATTATTTCAGGTGCCTAGAAATTATCATTTCGTTCCCCTTTAAATTATACGTTAGTATCAGTTTCTGTGATGTCACACTCCAAAATGACTGGCTCTGCATTACCTTTAAATATTTGTTTTAACAGCCAAGCAATAGATATTTTTGTTGTTGTCATTAACCAGCTGTGAAAAATTTTGTTTATACAGGTATTAGCTAGTTATATCAACCCAGGAGGTGCAGTGCCCAAGGACTTTGAATCCCCAGAGTACCCCAGCACTGCTGAGAAAATGGCTCTCCCAGCCAATGTACCAGAGCTGCTCAGCCAGTCCTGTCTTGTTCCAGCCATTTCTTCATATCTCAGGAACGATTCAGGTCAGTGGGGGCCTGTTTTTATACTTAATGGACACAGGACTCTTCCAAATCTGTTAATTTTTGGACTGTTTGTGAATGTTACATCTTGTACAGAGATAACATAAATTGCCAAACAATACTTTGGCATATTTCATATATTATATATTTCATATGTACAAATAAAGGATAGCTGGCTCTGAACACGATTGCTACAGTAACTGTAATGTTGAATGTGACTAGAATAAATTGAATCCATTGTGAAAACTTTTTAACTATGACATTTCAGTATTTCTGTTTATGGATTTTAAAGTTCATATATTTGTGTATTCCAGTATTAGACATGGCCCGCCATGTGCCCCTGTACAAATCATTACTGGAGCTGTTGCGTGCCATAGCTGTGTGTCCTCTCCTAGTGCCTTTACTGCTGCCACTGGACAAAGAGGAAGGGGCTGAGGCCTCGGTGGAGACATTACTGGAGAAGATGAAAGCCTGTGTGGACACATATGCAAGCAGACTCAAGTAAGTGGAGCTAGATCAATACAGTGTATTTCACAGTTTACCTCAGATTTTTCTTTCATTTAAGTGTATAGTTTTATTTCTGAGCTAAGTTTATTTCCAATCTGATATGTAATGAAAATTACATTCTGTGACCTTATTAAATTCATTTACAGCTATCATTCTTCATTTATCTATTTTATGTGAATAATTTTTGTCATAAATTATTACAAGATAAAATGTAGCCTGACCTGTTGAGCTTGTTATTGTTATTATTAAGGTGAAAAAAGTGAAAGACAATTCAGTTGCAGATGATTCCATTCAAATATAGTTCTTTAAAATTAAACATACCAGATTTTGAATTATTACCTCAGATGTCTGTTATGCTTTTGAATGTGCAACCAGTTATTTCTTTCAAAGCACTGAACCTTTTGTTACAGCTGTAATTCCAAAGGCAAGACTAAGAGTCGACGAGAGGATGATGATGAGTCAGAGGGGCTGGCCCTGTTGATACCTGACATCCAAGAGACGGCAAGGATGACCAAAATAGCTACTGACAGGATCAAAGATGAGACAGGTGGGTTGGGTGGTTGACTGGTTGTTGGTTTGCTGGTTGGTTGCCTGACTGGTTGTTGGTTTGCTGGTTGGTTGCCTGACTGTTTGTTGGTTTGCCGGTTGGTTGCCTGACTGGTTGTTGGTTTGCTGNTTGCTGGTTGGTTGCTTGACTGGTTGTTGGTTTGCTGGTTGGTTGCCTGACTGGTTGTTGATTTGCTGGTTGGTTGCCTGACTGGTTGTTGGTTTGCTGGTTGGTTGCCTGACTGGTTGTTGGCTTGCCGGTTGGTTGCCTGACTGGTTGTTGGTTTGCTGCTTGGTTGCCTGACTGGTTGTTGGTTTGCTGCTTGGTTGCCTGACAGATTTTTGATTTGCTGCTTGGTTGCCTGACTGGTTGTTGGTTTGCTGCTTGGTTGCCTGACTAGTTGTTGGTTTGCTGGCTGATTCATTGGATGACTGGTTCGTTGGTTAATTGGTTGACTGGTTGGTATTTTGGTTGTGTATGTGAGGGCGCAGATGTACCAGTGTATGTAAATGCTATTTTCAACTGAATAAGAAAGACCCTAGCTTGATTTAGGTTCAGAGGATGTTGAAGTTGCCTGTTTATGTATGCTTCTGTTTTATTCCTAGAACCAGGAGAACAGCAGACAAGCACTGAAGAGTCCAGAGGGGCAATGAAAGATAGCACAACATCAGATGCAAACTACATGGAGATCATGAAAGAGCTGCAATTTGGTAAGATGATTCTACTATATATATATATGTCATGTACTAAGTACTGAAAATGAAATAAACAGTATACTGAAATGGCTTATTTTGTGTTAATTACTTTTTTTATTTAAAAAGATAGTAAGATACAATTTATGTATATAAGATGCAAAATCAAGGTTTTAAGAATATGAAAATACTTGTGATGAAATGAGTCAATGTTATATATCACAACATTAAAAGGTTCACCACTTTTGTCTTTTCTTCAGACACACACCAACTACTCACAGATGAAAGTGGCACTCTGAAATTCCTGTCTCCCCATCATTACGAGTCCAATGTGAGATCTGCCGGAGAAATCAACAATCCTGCTCGCTCTCGTCGCCTGGCACAGGAGGCAGTCACGCTGTCCACCTCTCTGCCTCTGTCTGCTAGCAGCAGTGTGTTTGTCAGGTGTGATGAAGAAAGACTGGATATTATGAAGGTTTGTGTTTGCAGGTTCTTAAGATTTACTAAAGTGAAGGTAATGCGAATCACTAGAAGAAAAAATATGAAAAATAAGCTTTCTTTTTATGTTAGAATTACTAAAGTGAAGGAAATGTGTATCACTAAAAAGAAAAAAATATGAAAAATAAGTTTTCTTTTTGTGTTTAAGAGAGTAGTTGAATATGTGATATTTTTACTGCATCAGTGACTGAAAGATGTTTGTATTTAGAAACATTATTTCAAACAGGAATGTAAACTGCCTGAGATATTTTGATACGAACAGCATTTAGTACATACTATTTGTCAAAGTTTCCAGTAAGGAAAATAACATATTGAAAATTGAATATTTGTAGGTGTTGATAACTGGGCCAGCAGATACACCATATGCCAATGGCTGCTTTGAGTTTGATGTGTACTTCCCACAAGACTATCCAAACTCTCCTCCACTCATTAACCTGGAGACCACTGGCAACCACATAGTTCGATTTAATCCCAATTTATACAATGATGGCAAGGTAAATATTGGTGATTGCAGTCAATGCTGAGTGGGGTTGATATATTCTAAAACCAGATGTTTTTCATGTCAATAGGAATATGCAGAATATTCAGTATGGTCAACGGATTTGATTTCTTTTTTGATTTCCTGTAACGACAGATTTTTATCTTAATTTATTGAGTTCTATATAATCAACAAAATTTCAAGTGTTCCTTTTTTGCATCTTTGGCTGTATTTGTAAAAAGCATTTTGTATAACATTGTGCATTGCCTTTCAGGTTTGTCTTAGTGTTCTTAACACTTGGCATGGGAGACCAGAGGAAAAGTGGAATTCACAGACATCAAGCTTCTTACAGGTACTTTTAATAAGTTAGACAAGCTTATAGAGAGCACAGATAGTGGCATGAATCTTTATACAGACTTATCCGTGTACATATTATGATAATCACAACTGCATGCTAAAAGAAATATTTTTTTAAACATGGTACTATTCAACAACTGATTTTCTTCTTTTCACAGGTTTTGGTATCCATCCAATCTCTTATCTTAGTCTCTGAGCCATACTTCAATGAGCCAGGTTATGAGAGATCTCGTGGCACCCCTTCAGGCACAGCCAGCTCTAGAGAGTATGATGCCAACATCAGACAAGCCACAGTCAAATGGGCCATGCTGGAGATGCTGAAGAACCCTACTCCTTGTCTCAAAGAGGTAAGCAAAGATTGATTTTTTTTTCTCATTTAAATTGTAAATCCAATTTTTTTTCACCTTAAGTTCCCCCAGACTTGCTCATAAGGTCACCGAGCTAAATCTTTCATATTTACTAGAATTATGTCTGTGAATATCATGAGGACTTTCATACAGAATGAACCAGCATGTTATGCTTCAATAATAATAAGTTTCTAGAAGATGCAAAAATTTTTAATGCATTCCATGAGAAGCATAAAGCCATGGCAGAATCCGTTGATGCTACTGAATGATCAGCTGTCTTTATTGGTCCTAAATAATAATTTTTTTTTATACCATTCCTGATTTAAAATTACATTTAAAATGTATGATATATTAACATTACAGGTGATTCACAAACATTTTTGGTTAAAGAGGAGAGAGATCACAGCCCAGGTGGAAGAATGGATCCAGGAAATGGAGAGCTACAGTGGTGATAAGAGGACTGGCAGGGCCATTGCTCTCAGTAATGTGGCCCTCAAGGTAAGTCCATCACTTATCAAAAGACTGAGGGATAGCATAGAGGCCATGTGCATTCAACAGTGTATCACTAGAAGCAAGTGCATTGTGTAAGCCACATGGTGGTGGTGAAGAAACTGATGATGTTTGAAATTTTCTGACAGGATTTTCTCCCCGATTTGAATTGGAAATTTTTCCTTACAACCCCAAAATCATATCAAATTCTGAGATATTGTTTTAACAGTCCTTAATAGTGCTGCTTCACAAACTGAACATTTTGTTTTCAGCATTTGACATTTCTTTTAAAAATTTTCTGTATTATTTCAGAGGCACTTTGCACAGTTAAAAGAGGAATTTGCCAAAATGAAACCACCAGAGGGGTTGGAAGAAGAAGAACCAGAACAAAATACTCTCCATGGAAATCCACCAGAAACAACAAACTCAAACCACAACGGTGTGGAAGCATTGCCACATTCAAGTAATGGCATTGACAGTTACAACTCTGCAGATAGCACAACCAAAAAGACCACCACCAGCAATATGATAGTCCATAACTCTACCATGATGCAGGATGTGACAGAGAATGGAGTGAACAATAACAGTATTCATGCAGAGGATCAGAACCCACCTCACCTATCCCAACATGATGGGGTGATAGACTTGGTCTGTAATGGTGAGGACGAAGAGGACGAGGATGCTGATGAGGATTTGCTGGAAATGATGTGATGTTTTAGTGACTTTTATGAGGTGGTGTTGTTTTTGTTTTTTTTCACTGAAAAGCAAGGTTGAGAAAGAGTACCACTGGCATACAAGTGGGAAAAGGTTGATAATAAGTGAAAATATTATCAAAGATGCTGATCTCAGCCATAAAGGATAATGAATTTGACAAGTTGACAAAAAAGAATTGTTGCTTAAATAGGTTAAGCGACATTCTGACAGTGATTATGATCAATTTTAAGGCATCAGAATGAAAAAAAAGCAATGAAAAAAACAGTTTAATTTGGGAAATGTCTTCAGTGATGTGAGACATAAATGAAGTGACTAACTGTAGTGCATATTTAGCTATGGATCTGTGATTCTGAATATGGAACACTTTTATTATACAGAGCTATCATTTTTGTCAAACTGATTGACAAGACCTATAGACTTGTTTTGGGCATGTCCAACTTCTTAATTATGTCAGACTATAAGTGTTGAACATGACATGATTTTGTTGGAACTACCAGTGCAATTTAGCATGTGGGATGCACATGCTGTTTTTTGTTATTTTTTAATCGGAAAACATAAGAGGTAAAAAATACATCAAGCTTAAGCAATCATACCATTAATTATCAACAAGTTTAAAAAGTGCTTTAAAATGCATTTCTTTATTCAAATGTTCAAGGCAAAGCCCTTTGTTTACAGCGTTGTAAAACTCATTAAAAATTACTTGACACAAGAGCATGGGACAAGGAGATTTGCCCACGATTGAAAAATTAAGACGTGCATAAGAAAATCTTGACTAAGAAATAATGGATATGCTTACAAGCATATCATTTATTCGTAATGTGAATGACATTAATAATACCTTTAGTTAAAATAGGAGTATACAAATATCCCCCAATTATAAAAGGGAAAGAAGATCTTTTGTTGTAGATAATGTGTTAGAAATTGTATACAGTTTCATACACTTATATCTTAGGAGAAAATGAGATTTCAAACACTAAGAATTTGTTTCAGTACAGGTTTGAACTTGGGTTATATTGGATTAATTTAATGTAAGAAAAAGGGCATTTGTAGGTATGGATGTAAATTTGTACATGTAATTATTGTACTTATCACAATTTGGACATAAATGTTGAAACTGCTTCAAATTCTGACATGCTGCGTCTTATTTTACTTTCACTTTACATATTTAATTATACATTAACATTTTAAGGCAAATCAAAATCACTTACATCACATTTATTTTAAAAAAATGAAAAGTTTGCAATAATAAAATATAATCAACTATAATCATTGTCATACATCATTTTTCCTCTCCAAAAAGTGGACTTTGATTCAAACAATAACAAAATCACATGAATTACTACAATCACAACCATACATTATTTATTCTTTATGGAATAGAGAATTTCATTCAAACATAATATGATTCTGCACTTATCTTCTCTATACATAAAATATCAAAAATCTCACATGGAATGTTAAATGGGTGAGGAGATCGTATGACACGAACTGGGGGGAAAAGTTATCACTTTCTTTAATATGAATATGAAGTCAAATGTTTGCCACAAAAGCCAACCAAATGCCAGCATATAGTTTCAAATCATATAACTGAGAGAATTACCATAAGACAGTTTAATAATACCCAAAAAATGATATTTGAACGGATTTTTCTGCTCGCTTTCTATGCTGTATATAAATGGGGCAGACAAATAGGTAAGAAAAGAAGGTTCAATTTATGACCAAAAATTTAAAAAAGACCAGAGAAGTTTTAAGCTCTGGTTCATCTGGTGCCCAAGGGTGTATATTACCTTGGAACCAAAAAAGAGAATGGAGTAAATTTGAATGGGTCAAATATTAAATGGATTATATCAAAAACTAGATTTTTCAAACCAGTTTCCTTCTGGCACTCCTGGTTATTCATAAACCTTAGTTAGTGCCTTGGTGCATTTTTCCTTTCAGCTGAATGGTTTGTACTGAAACTAACAAGTACTAACCATCATCATACATGCAGGATTACTGAACTAAGAACCAAGTTATAGTCAGTGGTCCCATGTTCAGAGGCACAGATACCTTGTACTCCCTATCTAAAGTGTACTTTCGAGCAGGTCCTTCTTGTTCCCTGATCAGGGCTGTGCTGTTGAGCCCAGTGTAGTACAGTGGCAATTTCAGATTTGTTACAACTGTCTTGAAGGTTGGGTTGAAAACCATTGCAAGACCCTTATTTTTCAAGTGTGGATTAACATGCATGAAACTGTCATAACTCTGCATGTCAGCTCTGCGAACATGAACTACATCACTAGTGACTATATCCCTGTATTTCTTATAAAAGCTCACCCACTTCATCACAATGGCCTTAGACTCATAGCTGTCATACAGTTCAAACCCCCTATAGCATGCAGCAACCCCAGCCCCCAAGTACTGTGCAAAGGCCCACTCATACTCTAACAGGTGTTTGGACAGTGGCTCAAACTCTGCTGGGCCACCACCAGCATGGTACTGAACCAGTGGGACAAACATCCAACCAGCGGAGGGAATCAGACGGTACAAATCATCATACATTCCTTGTCGACTGATACTCAAGTCCTGCCACCGGGGGAGGGAGTACTGGTTCTCATTGTATCCCATCCCGTCCTTGTTCCCCCCCTGATAAAAGTAAGTATCTGGTTGGTTGATGTACACCTCTAAACTTCTAAGATCTCTATAAAATTCCCCTTGCAGTCTGTTCTGTTCATAGATGGAGTCTGTTATATCATCATGGTGGGAATGATTCGTTGAAGCACACTGATAACCCCCGTACGGCCCATCTGTCTCCAGCATCGACATCCCCGTCCTCTTTAAAAAGGAAAACAACTTGGTCTTGATATTATCATGCCATCCCGAGGCAAAACAGGCACTTCCTATTGAATGTCCATGGACATCAATTGCCATCCAGTCTGCCTGTACTTGTCTTGATAGGGATATCAAGTCATACCCACCCACCTCTATTCCCTTACTCAGGGCATAAGCTGTGTCGTTTGCTATCATGTCTATATAAGAACTGTTTGTGGATTCCAAGTTCAATCCTGAGCCAAAGCTGTAAATCATCATTTCAAAGCCAACCTGGAATAAAGATGAAAATAATAATTAATAAATTAACTAGTCAATGAACAGTTTTAATACAACTTCAAGGAACATTCCATGTGTACCGAGACAATATAATTTTCTCAAGTGTAAGTTAAATCTATGAACTCCATTTAGAATCATCATCATTTTTATTCACATTCTTCACCATAACTTGAAATCAAATTAATAATTTATTTTATTCTGGAACTTTTAAGATACCAGAACCCCTCACATCAAATGACAACTTTAGCAAAATTGACAACATGACCAGTTTGTTAGTGTTTGTTTAAACATTAACCTTATCTGTGGTTATATATATCAATGCACAACATATACAATTGCATTTTGGAAAATCAGTCAAATTTATGGGACCTTATCTGGACCTTAACGAGCAGTGAATCAGTTATCTGATAAATCATGTAAATAAACCTCTGAACAACTCACATGCCAGCAATTACTTTATGACATCTACTTTTTAAATGCAAAATTAAATCATGTGATTGTTAATGTTATCAGGTGACACGTACATATACTGATAACAGCTCCCATCAACAATGTTTATTACTTTATATCTAAAATTTTACAAGTGCATCTGCATTATTATCATTTATGCCCATAAATAATTCAAACAATGGAAATTGCCCAAAACAGCCCTAGGCCTTGTGACTTAGCATAAAATTAATAAAGATCTGGCAGGATCTGAAGAGTGGGGTCATAAAATAGCTGTACAGTACAGCAACAAATAAAAGCTGCCAGAATTAATCCATATAAAATGTTCTGGTTGCATTTCAAGTTTTGCAAAATTAGTCTTCAACATAAAGTATGTTTTCATTTTGTGTGTCACTTTCTAAGACAGCATTCCCAGTGCATAGAGTTTAACTCTTACTAAAAGTTAACACACCTAAAACTGATTTTTGCACATTTTTTTAAATCTCACAGTGAGGAGAGATTCATTTTAGGCTCAGGTTATTTTTACTATTCAGACACTCACCTCTGAAAGTTGATCTATTAATTTCTTCACAGCCACTGAACTACTATTGGTCATATGGAAGAAAATTGGGTTTTCCTGAGTCTGTGGAGCAAGAAGTCGGAACATGCGATGGTGTGAAAGTGAATGGCGCTCTGGGTCAGATGACCCAACCACGAGTTCATGGACACGGAAAGAGTCAACTGATGGCTTCAGGTCTAGGTCATTGTACACCTGGTATGAGCAGTTGACATTGGGCTGGAAGGAACCTGGCATGTCATTTGTGTGTGGATCAAGTGTCCAGGACACCTGAAATATAAAATGAAATGTTACCATGTTACCATGTTTCAAAACTTATGACAAAATCAACAAACATAAAATAAAGCCAAAACCCTTTAATTTAAACAGAAAACAATTTATATTAATGAATAAAGACAATGATTTAATTAAAAACTAAATTAAAAACTTGCCATCTTGTACATCTAAGGCAGTCAAGAGATACATAGTACTCTCTATCAAAGCCCAGCTGTGTGATGACATCATTTCTGATATTCTGAGAAACCCAGAGATATATTTGCAATTATCTAGAGAAAATATCTCTGTTTGGCCCTGGTAAAGGGTAGTCAAGAAGCACTTAAGTTGACAACAAAAAAGGATTCCTTACCACAGTGCCATGTGGTTCATTGGATTCCACTAGCAGCCATCCCATGGAGCTGGGGGCCCAGGGTTGATTCACTGCCAGATACTCCACAGACAAAATGGTGACTGCAACCTTCCCCACGGCTTCACCAGATGCACTCACACTAAGCCATTTCACCAGCAAGGGAATTCCATCATACATTTCATAATGAACAGTTACGGTCACCAGCTGATGATAATAAGGAGCATCAAATGGGGGTTTAAACTCTACATCCATCCTCATCCCGATTGGCGGCCAATGGATGTTTTGTGGCGCCCCCCTCCTAGGTTTGTACGGATATGGTGCTTGTGGTTCCAGAATTGTGGTGCCATGGAAATGGAAAGCTTTAGGATCTACTCTCATGTCTGAACCCAAGGCAGTGCGGTTGAGGTAGGCTGTTGGAGTGTTGGTTAGAAAACCACCTATATTGTACTGAATTCCATCAATCATAATGACAGCCTCTGGTTTGATGGCACGTAGAATAGAGCTCTGAGTGCTGTGATGGTCTTGAAAATCAATAGTGGCAAAATCTGGGTAGAGTGAGAATTCTCTGCTGATCAGGCCATTGCTCATCAGATATGTTCCATATTCAGTTTTCGTCACAGTGGTTTGGATGTTAATGTCTTTGATCAACCAGTCTTCTAGAGATAGACAGCCACTGGCCAGTAACACCAGCCACAAGATGTTCAGCAACATGCTGCAGTGAATGCCCAAAATCTAAAATTGAGCATATAAAAGTAGCAGTTGAAGGAAAATTCACTTTTGTCCACAATAGCAGCAGTTTTATATTCTGATCTCTATACACCATCACGTGGTGCCTCAGAGCAATTTGTACAATGTACTTAGTATTCTGAATGCGAGGCCTTTCACCTATACGCCGTGTTGCCTCAGAGCAATTTGTACCATGTATTCTGAATGTGAGACCTATCAATGTTATACAAAACTGTCATGACATTGAGATAGATGGTAAGATAGTTTTATGGTAATCAAATGCACTGCTGCCATGTGGTGATTAGGTAAAACAAATTATTTACAGAGAGGAAAAGTATACAATACAATATTATACAATAAAGTTTACAAGTTCATACAATAAAATCTTTAGAATAATTATGTTAGAAATTCTAATTATGCACTACCATGGCATCAGTACAAGTTTGACATCAAATTGCTAAATAATGGCTCACATTCAGCAATTTTTTATGTCTTTCATTGTAAACATGGCTATAATTTTCTCATGATCACTTGTTCTAAAAGTTTGGGGTGCTTTTCCTCGGTCTGTCTAATTAGCATCCACAAACATCCACAAAAGACCACAAGCTTCCATAAACAGCCACAAGCATAAATTGGTTGGAAAATCAGTAAAAAAATATATACAGTATACGTACATGTATATACAGTATCTGACAAAAGAAGATATTGTAAGTTGAAAAACAACTGTGTCCTAATATGTAGGCCTACTTAACAATAACAGAGAGAATGTAATTGTACCTACAAGCATCAGGGGCATCCACAAGAACAAATAGTTTTAAAATCAGCAATTAAACAGATACATGCATTTATCGTACGAAATATTCTGTATGCATTTTATAATAACACTACCTGTCTTGCTCTTATTCTTTTTGTCTGTTATAATTTTGTCTTTATCAAGCGTTAGCAATCCTATTGACGGTTCTAACGCAGTTAGCACACCCAGCATATATCAGAACCGTCAATAGGAGTGCTATAATGCCCTGAACCTGAGGCTAATAAACTGAGGCAACGTATAACTATATAATGTGCAATATGGCGATACATTGGCTCTTTTCTTACATTAAGTTAAAGAAACTATAACCCTGCTTTCAAAATAATGTCATTCTTAAAAAAACTCGACACTTACCTATATAATAATGGATCTAGTCTAAGTTAATTCTAACTAAATGTAAACAAAGTGGACAAAATCATGTGACCCTCTCAATGTCGCTTAGACATTTAAAAAGATTAAGCCTCACTAGTCTCTCCTCTTTTTCAAAGCTGAAGATGTACATGAGATAATCGAAAACGATTTTTTTGTTTGTTTTGATTTGTTTTTTTGTTTGTTCGTTTGTTTTGTCCATTTACTGCAAATTTTGGAATATATAGATATAGATATGAGGTAAGCGATTCACAACGTTCAAATGACGAGACAGAAGTGAAAAACTTACTGCATATGTGCTGATAGGCTCATCTGATATGCAGGTAATATATCAGATATATTAACGATTGTGAATAAAAGATCTGATCCTGTGCGGGGTCGTTGCGCGAGAGAAATTATTCAGCGAGTAACTATTGGAGTTCATGGATGGATTCTAGGAATACTGTATAAATAACTTCAAAAATATTTTCAAAAATCTGTAGAAGGGTCAGTCTACCCCTCCTTCCCGCGAAGCCTACGTCCTGTCAACTCACTTTCGGACGAAGAGACTTTTTTAAACTGTTATAAAATTTTCAATTCGTTAGATATCAATTTCTTCTTTTTAACTAATTTAATCTAAAAAGCCTTTCCCTCAAATACCCATTAATACTTTTAACAGGTTTTAACATAAAACTGAAGAAAATGTTGACGTAGCCTACCAGTACATGTAAAACTTTAAAATTCATGTGCTTATAGGCCTAATGTTTAATGTGTATAATAAAGATTGGTGCTCTAAGCTAACATCAGTCTAGCAATTTAAAAAATTAAAATAATTATAACTAGAAATATATTTGTTCTAAAAAAAACAACAAACAAAGGGCTAAATTTTAAATATTCGTTACTGTCGCTAGCATATCACATTCTCTAATCAATCTTGGATATTTTTTCACTTAAGTTTTAAAAAACTGCAACTTGTCGGAAAGCGAGTATGACGTCTAACGTCACAAACACAAATATCTAGAATGTTTATTTTAAATAACTCAATAAATGGCTTACGTCTACTTTCGCAATGTCCCCGGGTTTTGAAAAAAAAAGAGGGGGCGGATCCAGGTTTATTTGAAGGGGGTCTGGTTTTTTAGAAATAAAAGGCCACGGATACGTAGCCGAACCTGAAAAGATGGGATGATTCTGATGAAAGCTTAAATGAAGTTTTTTTTAATGGATACGGCTGAAATTGGCCCAAAAAATTGATTTCTGAGGGTAAAAGGGAACAATTTCTTCCATTCCTGTTCTCTGATCCAAATTGGGATAATTACAAGACTCGCCCCACCTGTCACCCCTTCTAATGCAATGGATTCGCCCTACCTGTCACCCCTTCTAATGCAATTGATTCGCCCTACCTGTCACCCCTATAATGCAATGGACTCGCCACACCTGTCACCCCTCTAATGGAATTGACTCGCCCAACCTGTCACCCCTTCTAAGACAATGGACTCGCCCTACCTGTCACCCCTGTAATGCAATGGACTCCTCCCACCTGCCACCCCGATAATGCAATGGACTCGCCCCACCTGTCACCCCCCCTCTAACGCAATGGACTCGCCCCACCTGTCACCCCTTCTAATACAATGGACTCGCCCTACCTGTCACACCTATAATGCAATGGACTCGCCCCACCTGTGACCTCTTTAATGCAATGGACTCGCACCGTGACGTATTATTCAACCGTATTTGCTTCAGTCAAGTCTTTACTGCTAAACCTTTTCACTACTCCTGTGATAGCTGACCTTGTAAACAATTTATTGGAATAAATTTTCTAAAATGAAGTTAAAACAATCCATTGATTCATCACAAATGCCAATTAACTATCAGGATTACTTGAAAACGCCTTTTTAATTATTTTGATAAACCTTATTACATAATTGAAGTCTATTTTTATAGTTTTTTTTAAAGCTTTTCATCATGATGGTAATTTCGGGTAGGTACCGACTGCACGAGGGTTCTCATCGCTCTAGTCGCCGATTAACCCCAACCCCAATTTGTAATCAGCCACTGAAATCCTTTGTTAATGTGTTTTTGTCAAAATTAACAAAAATGTATAATTTGTAAATTTAATCAAAGTTTATTTACGTTAATAGAACTTGCTGACAGTGACAATGTAGAACGTTAGCATAACGTTCTTTTAACACTTGTTGATAGTCTAGCCAATATATAACCCTGTTATCAAAACGTTCTGTGTAAGCTGGGTTTCTGTTACCTTCATTATTTTGCATGTGTTTAAAACATTTATTAACAAGAGACCTAATATCTATGAAATCATTTTTTTTAAATAAACTCAAATGGCACTAAATTGATTTTTTGTTAACGATAACAAATAATGAGTTATTGTTTTTAAAGTAACTACAACCTTAAAGGTGCGCTCCATGGGTTTTGAAATGGGTTTAAGACGTGTCAGGGGGGTCCTGACACCCCCTTCAATTTCTGAAAAAAATCACACCATTGGTCGCCATCTTGCAATTTGAATTTTGACTAGCTGAATCATAGTTCTAAACCGTTCGCCCTCTAAATTACCAAAAACTTTCGGGGCCCTTCAGCAGGCCCCGAACCCCACCCCAAGGGGGGGGGGGTAAGGTCGGGTTCGCATCCGTGCCCCACCCCCCCACCCCCTTCAATTAATCCTGGATCCGCCCCTGAATACTAGTTTGCTAACATGTATTTCATTTTAGATCAGTCCTGTGGCAATCCCGGTCAGGTTTACAGGAGGAGAACCTTTTTTGTTTTTATTTATTTATCCTTTAATTATCTTTTTATTCGTGTCTTCACTATAGTTAGGGGAGACCGGGGCTTATTGGATCCCGGGGTAAGTCCTCCCTCCCCCCCCCCCCACCCCCATCGAGTCTCTTTAATAATAATAATTTAATTAATCATTTCATTTGGACTCACTGCCGACGCTTTCTTAGCAATATTGGATACGATCACTTTACAAAATGATGTGATCAATTAGTTACTGAATATAGTTACTTTGTCATAAATTGATGGGGGGCAACTTACTCCGGGGTCCCTACTGCCTACACTTCATTTTTTATAATAAAAATTAAAAATTTCCAATAGATATCTACACCCCTCCACAAAAATAATTATGGATGGACGTTTTTTTATCAGTGCTGGATCTGATAGTGTGTATAAGTGGGTAGGGTCAGTGTTTTATTTCAAAGTAATATTTTAGATAGAGTAGCAAAAACGTTCAGGGAGGACACAAACGTCACATACACTTCGGTTTGGTCTCGTTGTAACAGAGGCGAGCCCCCAAAAGAACCGTAAGGGAATTGAATTCCAGTCAAATATTTTAGAGAATATTTCAGCTATATCTTTTGTGACCCATGCAAGAAATATTGTATTTATATTTCATCACTGTTTTATAAATTGCAAAGATTGATGAAAGTATTTCAATTTATACTTTACTACTTGTTAAACAAATTGAAGGTTTCTGCTTCCACTTTGAACCCCTCCCTCGCATGCACCTCGGTCCCATAACATCAAAATGGCTGACAGCTGCAGTGAGATGGAAGCAGAGAGCGATACCAGTTCTGTCGATGGGGGCCCTACATTAAAGATTTCGTCCCCAAGCCAACTGGAGCAGCTAGCGAAGAGAGTGGAATCTCTTCAACAAGAAAACAGAGTGTTGAAAATCGAGCTGGAGACGTACAAGTTGAAATGTAAACAGCTGCAGGAAGAAAACCGAGAGTTGCGGAAAGCCAGCGTATCAATTGTAAGACCGTGTTTTTACTTGGTATTCTAGCTTTTGTCAGTCTGCTGTTATGGTTGACAACAATGAAGTTGTATTGTTATTTTAAGGGCCATCAGAATTGGGATAAAAAGATGACAGAATGAATAACAGCGACAGTGTGGTCACGAAGTTCAATCGTCCACCGTCAACACACTGAGTGAAAACTGAAAGATCTATATATACCATAGCCCAGCAAGCTCGGCCCAGGTCTTGAACAGTTGATTAATCTTAAATCCAACAAAAAATCTTTATAATGCCCCACTAGACTTGTGAAAAAATATCTAATTCAGTAAACCATTTAAAATGAATTTGGTCATGTCACCAAACGTAGATCACAGGTTTAATTAAAAAGAAAAAGAAAACTTGGCATCCTAATGTTCTCCTTATGGGTCAAGCAACTTTTGATTTTGCAAAGTAGTGAGTGTTGCAAGCATTGGTAGTGTCACTATACTGGGTCATTAATTGTGTGTGTGATGGTCTGCTAGCTCTGTATATCTCATACAATCCTGTACATAGTGCAAACCGTGACTCTTACTTTGAGTTTCAGAAATATCTTACTTGCTTTATCATTTAGCAGTGAGTGTAATGACTGAATGTGACTTGTGACTTAAAGAGTTGGCAGACACAAATTGGGATCATTCAGAATGAGAAGAGCCGAGTGCTAGCTAAGCCAAGACCTAAATATGGTGGACCTACATGAAAGTAAGACCGATTAATCCTATAATGGTCTCTCCGCCTCTCACGCCCCCCCACGCATCGTCCCTCGACCAGTTGAATGAGCCAAGATTTAATGACTTTGCCCCTAGCTAGCACTCAGCTCTTCTCATTCTGAATGGTCCCTTTGAGCATTATTCTTAGTTGTCCAGGACTGGTTGATTTTGAATTTCTTTTTTTCAGGATCAGGGTATCATTTGGGACTTTTCATGATGTAATCTATGGGGCATGTATGGTCATTTTATTCAGTTATGGTATTAATGCTTGGCTGATTTTCAGTCTTAGTTTTTCATTATGGAACTTCATTGTGGTATTAGTATAGTACACATGTATTGTTAGGGTAGTTCTTATATGGTTTCTAAGATTCGTCAACCAGCAAGATGACGACAGATCCTGGTATTTATTTACTGATCTTTATCTTGAAACCCTGATATATGGGTTCAAGCTTTTATAGGTAACCTTGCCAGTCCTGTTATCATAATCTTTAATTTCTCTCTATCATCGGCCACCTTCAAATCCATGACCATGTCCTTCCTTGACCCATCTTGATCATTGGTGTGCCATGATGGTTTTGGCCTCTTTTTACCTCTGCCCACAGTCGTGCCATGTATCTATGTGTCATTGTTTATTTTTCAAATTAACAAGTATCCAGACCCCTGGAATGTTCTTTTCCACTTCACATAATTTCTCCTTAATTTCTTCTGTTCAGTGATAACAATTTTTCTGGAAGTATCACAATTTGTAAGACTGCAAGTTTTTTTAAACCTGAATGCCAATCTTACGGCTTATCTGTTCATTAACCAGGAGCAACTGCTGGCCTGTTCTTATTGTTTCTTGTAAGAATTAAAGAATCTTGTACAAGAAATAAGCTCTTTTCCTTTAGTGACTTTCTATTTTGATCGGTACACTGGTCTCTCTGTGTAAGGTTATGGTTTCATTTTATTTTTTCCACTGAATATTTGCTGGGGCCTGTTTCACGAAGCAGTCGTTAG